TTGGGCAAATACTTATGTGTGTGTGTGTGTGTGTGTGTGTGTGTGTGTGTGTGTGTGTGTGTATGTGTGTGTGTATAATGATTAAAAAATCATTTATTTATTTTCCCCAAACCCATGACTCTTAACAATTTTTTCTCTTATTGAAAAGAAAACCATAATCCTTCAAGTCACCCAGGTTCACAACCTCAGAGTCTTCTTAGATTCCTCAATTTCTGTTATACCATATATCCAGTCAGTTGCTACATCTTTTTACCTGTACAGCATCTCATTGTACCTCTACAACATCTCTTCCAGATGTTCCTAATTACCACTTTTACAGGCACCACATTAGTCTAATGACCAGGAGTGGGGAACCTGTGACCTCATGGCCACATGTGGCTTTCTAGGTCCTTGGGTGCAGCTTTTTGATTAAGTCCAAGTTTTACAGAACAAATCCTTTTATTAAGGGCATTTGTTCTGTAAAGTTTAGATTCAGTCAAATGGGAGCACTTGAGGACCTAGAGGGTCATCTGTGGCCTTGAGGCCTCAGGTTCCCACCCCTTATATATTATACTATAATCCCTTTTAACCTCTTGCCTGAATACTGCAATAACTTCTTAATTGGGTTATCTACTTCATGTTTCTGGCCTCTAATCACCCACATAGCAGCCAAATGATTTAGTTAAAGCTTAGATCTAACCAGATCATTCTCCTACTCAATATACTCTAATGATTCCCTATTACCTCTAAGTTAAAACATAAATTCTTCTGAACAGCATTCACATGTAAACACCTCTATTGACAATCAAAACTTTTCATAGTGTGGTCACTATTTAATGTCCCAGCATTTGACATGTAAACATTATTATACAATCAACTTTCCCAATATTACACATATGATGCATATAACTTCCCTTCACAAACTCTAAGGTTTAGCTATGCTAACCTCTTCCTATTTTTCATAGATAGCACTGCATCTTTCATCTCCATGACTTTGTACTCTCTGTCCCCCAAACCTGGAATGCAATCCCACCTTCTACCTTTTATCCCATCTCTTCCTTTTAGAACCACTAATTTCATTGAAGATTCAACTCAAGCAATACCTTTTACATGAGGCCTTTCCCAACACCTCTAGCTGCTAGTGTATTCATGGTTAAAAAAAGTGTCTTACATCTATTTTTTTATATATGTATATATAAGCATGTTTGTCTCTCATAGAAGAAAAATGTGGAATGAAAGAAAGAAATGAATATTTATTAAGCATTTGCTATGTAGCAGGTAGCATGCTAAGCAATTTGTTAATGGTATCTCATTTGATCCTCACAACAGCCCTAGGAGGTAGGTGTTATTATTATGTCCATTTTACAATTGCAGAAATGGAGGCAGACAGAGGTAAAATGACATGCTCAGGGTTACAAAGATAATAAGTGTGATCAGGATTTCAGGATTTGAACTCAAGTCTTCCTAACTCAAGACACAGTGTTCCATCCTCTGTGTTGCTTACTTTGTTTTGTCTTTGTATCCATAGCACATATTTTAGTATCTGTCACACAGGAGGAGCTTAATAAATGCTTATTAATAAATTGATTGACATTGTAGAAGAGGTTCTTGGTCAGGGATGGGTTGGACTATGTGACTTTTAGTTCTGAGATTCTATCACTCTCTGATTGTTTACTACACATTTATAATAGTCAAGAACCCATATTTCATTTTTTTAATTAAAATTTATTTTTGATTGGCATTAAGTTTTTCTCCCTTCCAATTATTCCCCCTGCTGGAAAAAAAAAAACAAAATCATAATACTAAATATGAATTTTTAGTGGGATCTGTAAGCTAAGAAACTCTTTTCTTTAGTGTGTGTGTGTATGTGTGTGTGTGTGTGTGTGTGTGTGTTAGACTTTGTTCCAAGCTGCCTAGAATAGCTATTAATGGCAAATAGTCTTTTCCTAAGTAGCTATCCATACCCATGTTGGTGTTCACTTGCTTTCAGTCATGTCTGACTCTGTTTCCCGTTTTGGGATTTTCCTGGCAAAAGGTATTGGAGCAGTTTGTTGTTTCCTTCTCTAGCTTATCTACAGAAGGGAAGTTTACACAAACAGGGTTAAACCAGGGTTACGGAGCTAGTAAGTGTATGAGACTAGATTTGAACTCAGCTCTTTCTGACTCCAAACCCAGAGCTCTACCCACTGTGCCACCTAGCTACCCCTTCAACACCCATACATTCTATATAATTCTAAAAGGCCACCTCCAAATGAACCATTTGGTCTTCTGAGTTGAGACCACAGTTTATATTTCTGTGGCTGGATACATTAAAGCAGTGCACAAAATTGCTTACAGATGTTTTTGCCTAGCTTGAAGAGTCAAGATAGGGTAATTCTCTTCTCTGAGTGGTAGACACATTGTTTCTGTAGTCAGACTATGTAGACAGCTATAAGTACTGGAGAATTACTCCCACAGTAAAGTAGGGAACAAAATCCCTGATTTCTTGTTTCTGTGAAGGAAGAACAACAGAGTTGAAGGACAGCTAAAAGAAAAGATTTGTTTGATTAGATATTTATCTTCTGGACTATTTTTAATATAGTTTCAATAGAGAGGTCATAAAAAGCATTGTGTGTTCTATGAAATCTTCTAGGCAAGTTGGTATTGTTGCAGACATTTTATGAGAAACAAAAAAAAAAGAGATAGACAGATGAATAGACTGTGTAATATAGTGTAAAGAGCACTGGCTATAAAACCAGATCACCTGAGTTCAAATTGGGCAATTCACTTAACTTCTGTAAGTCCCAATTTCTTCATTTGTTTGCAAAAAGAATAGGATGGAGTGGGAAAAGTTGGATTAGGTGAACTCCTAGGTTCCACCTAGGTCCAATTCTATGTAATCATTTCTTAGATTGATAGCCATTCTCTAGTAATTTATCAAAGAATTTGAAGAGGCAATTCCCAAAGGAAGAAATCCAAGCTATAATAGGCATATGGAAAAAATGCTCCAAAATTCTAATAATTAGAGAAATGCAAATCATCAAACCACTCTTTTGAACTGATGCCTATCAGATTGGCAAAATGACAAAAAAAGGAAAATGACAATTGTGGGAAGACAGGCACTGAATTGCTATTGATGGACTTGTGACTGTGTCTAGCCATTTTGGAGCAGTTCAGAACTACATTCCAAAAGTCAAGAAACAGAGTATAACTGTTTACTCAACAATATCACTGGTAAATTTACATGCCCAAGAAATAAAGAGGACAAATTGTTCATTTGTGCAGAGATATTTATAGTAGCTGTATTTGTTGTAGCAAACAACTAGAAACAAAGTGATGTTGTATATGTAGCCATATTTTTAGATTTATATAGTCATTTCCAAATTGACTATTTTCAAATTTTTCTTCTCACACTTGCTTTTCAGATTATTTCCCATCAGGCTCTTTAAAAAAAAAACCAACTGGGTTGAATTCATGTTAAAACAATTTCTAACTTTTTAAAATAAGTTTTGAGCTCCAAATTCTCTCTTTCCCTCCATCATTTCCTCCCTCCCCTAACCCCTCTCTGGGATGTTAAGCAATCCTATATAGTTTATACATGTTCAATCATGTGAAATATTTCCATGGTAGTTATTTTTTTACAAAAAGACTAATATTAAGAAAGAAAGAAAGAAATAATGAAGGAAAGAAAGAAAGAAAGATAGCGTCCTTCTGTCTGTTTTCAGACAGTATCAGTTCTTCTTCTGGAGGCAGATAATATGCTTTATCAGGAGTCCATTGGGATCGTCTTGGATCATTGTGTTGCTGAGAATAGCTAAGTCCTTCACAGTTCATTGTACAATATTGCTGTTACTGTGTACAAAATTCTCCTGGTTCCATTCACATCTTTTTGCTTCAATTCATGTAAGCCCTTCCAGTTTTTGTGAAATCATCCTGCTTGTCATTTCTTATAACACAATAATAGCTGAATCTACTCCTTCAGCATCCTCTTACTTAAGTCCCATTACAATATCACTTACAACCCAATAAACTGACTGAAATTTTTAGCTCCACGACTCCCAATAACCTCTTCATTGCTAAATTCTGCAACCTTCTCTTAGGCCTCATTGTTCTCATCTGTATCTTTTGACACTGTCACAACCAACCCCTCAATGCCTTCTTTCCTTCTCTCTGCCTTATAATTTGACTCTCCAGGGTATCTTTAAATTTCGCTTATCATTCTTTAGACACCTTTGCAGGATAGATCATTCTCCATCTCTTGTACTTTTAGGGTTAGAGTGTTACAATGCTCTCTCTCTCTCTCTCTCTCTCTCTCTCTCTCTCTCTCTCTCTCTCTCTCCTCTCTTAGACATGTCATCTGCTCTCATAGATTCAAGAATCATCTCTATGCAGATGACTCCCAAATCTATAAATCAACCCCTTATTACTTTTTCTGAAATCTTCTCCTACATATCTATTATTTGCTAGACATTTCCTCCTAAATGTCCCATAAACATCTCAAAATGATTATTTACAAAATGGAACTCAGTAGTTTCCCCCTAACCTCATCCTTTACTGAGGAGAAAATATTGACTTCTTAATATTTTATTTGGGGAATTCAAAGCCCGCCACCATCTATTTCTTACCTACCTCTCCAGCCTGATACTGTATTACTCCCTTCTATGCACTCTATGTTTGTTGAATTTGTTGAATGTTTGTTGAATCTGAGCAGCTAGTAATCAGATTAACAAAGACTGTTTAACACCTACCCATGTTCTTTGCCTGCCTATAATTATAATGGAAAATTTACCCACCATTCGGTTTTATCTGTGATTAAAATTAGAAATGCACACTTGGCAGCTTATCTCTTTTTGTGCCCCTTTCCCACTGCAATGCCAGCAGAAGATAAGATTTTGTTATAAAAGAACATTTATAGGCTTTTTGGAGTGTTGCATGGAGTTTGCCTGAATTTCCATGGTGAGTGAGGGATGTCTTTTCCAGAGCTCTTTTATTATGTACATTATTCAAAATAAAACAGAATATTTGAAAAAAAATCAAGTGAACATGAATCACCACAGTCTTTGTTGTGTTTCTTTCCCACGACTAACCTATGTATTTAGCTTTATTTAGATGCTGCTAATTTGGACAATCTCTCTGCTACTGGGCACAGTGGCAGGTAAGAAACCATATTTCTGTCAGTATTGGACATGTAGGCCTCTTGTGAGTGTCAGTCTATGAAATGGTTCAGAATTATTTTCTATATAGAGACAGTCTGATGGAATAGATTGAAAGCCAGTCTATGCATCAGGAAAGGTTGGGTTCATGTCTCACCCCTGGTATATACCGGCTGCATTGATTGTGGGCAAGTAACTTAACCTCTCTGTGCTCTAGGTAGCTGTCTAAGACTAAGTTGCAGAGTAGGGGTTAATCTGCATTGTTGAGGGAATGCCTCACAATAATGTCTCTACATTCATGGAATCACAGGATGGCCACAAATAAATATCCCATGCCATAGTGTTCTAACTTTAACTTCAGGTAACTTTGCCAACACTGAACATTTTTTCTTTGGGGGAGCCCACCGACATTGTAATGTTCGAGCCCAGAATTATGCGAACTTCAGATTTGACTTCCTCACATGCTGAGCCTGCATCTCCTTCATTTTGCGTGCCACTTGGGCCAAAGTTTTGGTTGGGCCCAAGGGATGAAAGTTTTTTGGGTCATGGATAAAATTTAAGCTGTCAACTGAATGTTCAACACTGACTAGAGCTGGGAGCATCTCTGCCCCTCACATAGAATGGAAGAACCTGTTGGTTCCAACTTGTACAGTGCTTTGCTGTTCAGCACAATTCAACAGGAATGTACTGAATGCCAACTGTGTACCAAACACTGTATATACAGAGAGGAAGAAAACATAGTGCATTCCCCTAAGGACTTAGAATGGAGCAAGGAAGATGAGGTATGTGCCCAAACAGCTATAAAGCAAGGTAGAATATGCTAAGGGGAGAGATCCAACCATAGGGACATGAGAAATGTGAGGATAAGGAAATCACATCCAGCTGGCAGAATTAGGGAAGACTTTTTCAGGAAGTAGTACTGGAATTGGGCCTTGAAGAAAATAAGATGTAAGGGGGAGAAGGGGAAGCATGAGCGAAGTATAATCAGATCTAGCGGCTAAAATGACTTAATAGGTTTTTTAGTCCAGTCTTCTCATTTTTACAATTACCTAAATGAGGCTCAGGGAACTTAAATTACTTTGCAAGGTCACACAGCTCAGACTAAGGATCTTAGTCTTTCTGACTCCCAGCCCAGTCTTTTACTCACTATACTCCCGACAATACATGAAGCAGATAAGATGACACTGAGGGATGATTAATAGTCTAGTTTGACTAAGAGTATATGAAAGGGATTGATATTTAATTGAATTAGACAAAGGTATAAAGGAAGGATGGAATTGTTATGATAGGGAGCTTTAAAAGAAAATTATATTACACTGTATCCATTGGATAATGGGGAGTCACTGATGGTGTTTGATAAGAGTCATAATGTAAAGATTACATTACCAAGATTGTAACAGAGAGAACAGAGAGACTGGAGGCAGATGGACCCATTAAAAGGTATCGCTATTGTCCCACTGAGAAGTGATTAAGCCTTTAAGACGGGGAGGTTGTAGTAGTAGTAGAAATGAAGGGCAGGATGTGAGAGATGCTATTGAGGTTAAATCAATAGAACTTGGTAACTGATTAGATGTAGAGGATAAAGAAGGGAGAAAAATCCAAAATGACTTTGGGTTTTCCAGGTTCAGAGACTGGTAAGATTGTACTGCCATCAACAGAAACTGACAGGTTAAAAGAGGGTCAGTTTTCTGGAGGGAAGGGATGAGTGCACTTGGAATCATGTTGAATTTAAGGGACTGTTCTGACAGGTTCTGTAGGCAGCTAGAAATACATATTCTCTCACTGGATCCCCCAAACACCCCAATTATGTATTATTATTATTATTATTATTATCCCTATTTTACAATGAGAAAACTGAAGTTCAGAGCTTCTCTGACTTGTCCAGAGTCATACAGGTAGTGAAAAAACACAAATCACAATTATATGTTTCTTTATGTTTTTAAAAGCAAGTTGTCAGGATACTTCTGTAAAAGAACAAAGTTTATTCTACTGCACTGTTCTACCTTTAATTAAGGTGTACTCTTTTTGTATATTTTTGAGGCTGGATCTCTCTATGTCTCTCAGGTTGGAAGACCAAGGGTTACTCACTGGCCTCATGTAATCACCACTGGTCAACATGAAAACTTTGATCTACACTGTTTCTGACCTGGGTCATTTCACTTCCTCCCTAGGCAACCTGGTGACTCCCTGCTCCCCAAAACCTGACATATTGAGGCCAGTTTGGTCCCATTGCAGTTTAAAAGTTCTGAGCTCAGGAGAACCTTCAAGGTTAGCCTCCCCCATAGATGGGACTACAGTGTGGGCTGCCACAGCCAGCATTAAGGTGTGTTAGCGGTACTTAACACAGTATGTGTCACATAGCAGGTGCTCAACACATCTTTCTTGATTAACTAAGGTGTGTTTTCTTCAGATTGTATTGCCTGTCGACCCACCACAGAAATGGTGAGAACAAAAAAAATGGGTTTGGGGGCAGGTCTTACCATGGCAATAAGAGGAATGAGGCACTTGAGTATTTTAAATAATGTGTCTTTAGCACTTAGTAAAGAAGAACATGGATGTTACTTATAACCATTTAGTGACTTTGAGGAGAGGGAAGTAAAATGTAAAACATTTTAACAAGTCCTCCTTCTATGTAGCAGAGAATGCATCAAAACTGCCCTCTAATGAAAAAAAATGCTCTAAATCCCTGTTGATTAGAGAAATGCAAATCAAAACAACTCTTGAGGTACCACATCACACCTATCAGCTTGGCCAACATGACAAAACAGGAAAATGATAAATGTTGGAGAAGATGTGGGAAAATTGGAACACTAATGCATTGTTGGTGGAGTTGTGAAATGATCCAACCATTTTGGAGAACAATTTGGAACTATGCCCAAAGGGCTATCAAAATGGGCATACCCTTTGACCCAGCAATAGCACTTCTAAGGCTATATCCCAAAGAGATCATACAAATGGGAAAAGAACCCATATATACAAAAATATTTATAGCAGCTCTTTTTGTGGTGCCAAAGAATTGGAAATTAAGAGGATGTCCATCAGTTGGGGAATGGCTGAACAAGTTGTGGTATATGAATGTAATGGAATATTATTGTGCTATAAGAAATGATGAGCAAGAAGAGTTCAGAAAAAGCTGGAAAGACTTATATGTTCTGATGCTGAGTGAAATGAGCAGATCCAGGAGAATGTTGTACCCAGTAACAGCCATGTTGTGCGATGACTAACGTTGATAGACTTAGCCCTTCTTAGCAATAGAGGGATGTAAGACATCTCTAAAGGCCTCATGATGGAAAATGTTATCCACATCCAAAGAAAGAACTATGGTGTTTGAATGCAGATTGAAGCATGCTATTTGCTGTTTGTTATTCTTCTGTTGTGTTTTGTTTCATCTTTCTGGTGGTTCCTCATATTGGTTCTAATTCTTACTTACAACATCACCAATGTGAAAATGTGTTTAATAGGAATGTATATGTATAGCCTATATGAGATTGCTGATGGTCTTCAGGAGAGAGGTGGGGAGAGAGGGGGAGAAAAATTTAAAACTCAAAAGCTTATGGAAGTGATTGTTGATAAAGCAAAATAAATTAATAAAAAGGTGGAAAAAAACTGCCCTCTAAGTTAATTTATCTCTGAGATGTTCTTTTTTGGGGGATTACAGGAGATGAAGTTTGCTATCCAAGAGTTGGATGTTTTACAGATGATATACCATGAGCTGGCATTGTGGAAAGACCCTTTAAAGTGCTCCCCTGGTCTCCACAAGACATCAACACACGTTTTCTTCTGTATACCAATGAATCCCAAACACTTATCAAGTAAGTCATGCTATTACTTGAAGATTTGTGACTTGTGCATATTATTTAGAGGAGATAATCGGCTGTTTAGATTTCCTAGCTCCTCAGTGAAGATGCACCAGAGAAGACAGTTGGAAACTTTGGGAACTTTCTAAAAACAAAAGATCAAGTTCTAATTTACTGTGAATTTTCTCAGGAGTCACTGTTTGTCTTATGTCAAGTCAAGTCAAGTCAACAAGCATTTATTAGGCACCTTCTATGTGCCAGGCTCTGTGGTAAGTGCCAAGGACACAGAGGGAAAAAGAAACCAAATAAATAAATAAATAAATAAAGCCAAACCAGTCTCCAAGAGTTCAGATTCTAATGGGGAAGACCACATGCAAACAGCTGTGCACCAAGTTGAAGATCTATATTTTGTATTTACACTATTAACAATTGCTTTAAATGTAATAGATAAGAATCAACTCTTCCTCTTTCCCGGTCACATTTTTGCACATTCAAACTGCTTTCACTATCATTATTAGAGCATATGTTTCACACTGTATTTCCTATGTGATGACAGAGTCCTGGTGTATTTACCAATTAGGCTGTCATTTGCAATAGTGTAAATGTAGCTATGAAGAAGACCTCTTTCTCAGAAGCTTCTATCCTCTTGTTGAAAGCATCATATTTCAGAAAATAGAGAGGTTGATAAGCAATTTTTTTTCTTCTTAACACAGGAAATTCTTCCAGACAATTTGGCAACTGTCAAAAGCTCTAATTCCAACAAGAAGAGAAAAACTCAATTTGTTGTTCATGGCTTCATTGACAATGGTGAAGAAGAATGGTTGACAAGCATATCCAAGGTAGGATAACAGCAGTAGTAATCCCCACCCTCTCATTCCCTTATACTAATCTTTACAGGGCCCCTTCATCCCAACAACAGCATAAGGAGAATAGAACAAGTTTTATTGTCCTCTTTTTGTACATATGAGAACTGAGCAATCAAATGTTATCCCTTATGCTCACACTCCCTCCCCCCCAAAAAGCAGTGAATTGTAGTAGAAAATGCATGGGATTTAGAATCAAAAGAAGTGGGTTGAAATCCTGCCTCTGATGCTTCCTTCTTGTGATCCTATGACCAGTTTGTAAAGGAAGTAGCAAGTAGGATCTTTTGACCCCGTGACCAACTTTCTTTCTACCTTACCATTTTGCCTCTGATTATACTCTTATGTTGCCACTAAAGATACTCTCTTAGTCTTTATTCAGGTTTTCTCATTAATCTTGCACCTTAAATGAAATATTTAACTTAGTATAGGAGAAAAATATTCCATAAGCCTTGATTTCTACTCACTGACCTCTCACTGAAAGCAAAAGATGTACACCTCCTACATCCATTTGATCTTTACTTCTGGTTTCAATGTTTGAAACCTAGAAATGATGGTTTCTCTCTGATCATGAAAGTTATAAAAAGAGAATTGTGGGACACCTCATTTTCTTTCCAAATGGAGGAGAGGAAATTCCCTGAATGTCAGAAGAATATTCTTTCACATCTTGTAGATATAAATGGAATCTGGGAAGGTAAATCCATTCACTATATAACAAAAGTTACTATTAAAATGAATATTACCGTCTCGCCAAACTTACCAAGTTGTCTAACAAACAGCTTGCCTTATTCTTCTATAAACTATGGATTTTAAAGTCTTTTCTGTAGTACTCTACTATTGTATGAGACCTCCCTTCTAGAATGGAGGTAGGTAGTTACCACAGGAAATGGATTTGTGAAAGATTTTCACTGGGTCAGTCTAGCTTGTCCTTTAATAAGCTACAGAACTCAAACATATCCATTTTGGCTCAAAATAAATTCCCCCCACTATGTAGATTTGGCCCCATTTTTGTAACCACTAACTCCTTCTGAGAGCCACAGTGGTCTAGTGATTAGAGAGCTGATCTCAGAGTAAGGGAGACTTTGAGTAGATCCTACCTTTGACAAGTACTATTTGTATGATGCTGGGCAAGTCACTGACTCTCTTGGTAGCCCAGCTTTCTCTCTAAGTTGAAGAGAATGTGCCGATCGCTATTGGTAGAGAAGCTCTCTTTCCGGAAGCTCTGTATATTAATGAAATGATAAGCATTTTCTGACAGTACATAGTGATAGCTGAATATCATAAAACATACATTATCCTTTTTTATTAAAAGCCTGATATGTCCTTAAAGTTTGACCATGATCTATGTAGTGTATGACTTATTTAAAAGTCAAATTTACAATTACAATTTTGAATAAAAAAAATGATACAGTGCCCCTTCTGTATGATCCCATCTACTTTCACAGGAACTCTAGATTTTGCAGCATGTAATCACCTACGAAGTTACAAGTATTATGCAGATAGCATCCTCAACCCAGCTGGCTTTTCTGGATACCCTGTGCTTCCTACAAAGATTTTGAGGCATTAAGTTATTGCTTACCATGAGAATCAACATTGCATACAGCATAGAGAAGTTGGGTTCCAAGTCCCAAAAGTTGGGATCTTTTCCTGGCACATCATAAGCTTGCCCTTGGTCAGGTAGCTTAACTTCCCAGTGCTCTGGAAAGGTACTGATCTGCTTTGATAGAGGGAATTGCCTTACCATGAGCTTTCTTATAAATGATGTTACATGTCAAGAATAAGTAAAAAGGTATTTCTCTACAAAGAATAACAGACCTGGAAGAAACAAGGACCATTAGAGGTTATTTAATACAAACTACACTTGAAAGCAATCCTTAATACAACATGCCTGATAAGTGACCACCTAGGGGCCTTTAAAGTCCTCCATCAGGGGAAGGGGGCTTATCACCAGCCCATTGCACTATTGGAACCTCTAATTGCCAGTAACTTTTTTTTTTTACTGACATGAAGCCTGTTTCCTCTTCCTATACTTCCTATGATTCCTGGTTCTGTGTTCTGGGGCCTAATAAAATATTTCTGATCCCTTTCTCACCACAGTTCTAAGGATAGCTATCAAGTGGTTCCTGTTTCTTCTCCTCTGCACAATAAATACCATCAGATCCTTGAGAAAAATTAGATGGAGCATCCCCGAGTCTCCAATCCCCCCAAATCTCTCTAGAATTCATGAGAATATGGTGGTATAGTATAAAGAGTACTGAACTAGAAATTAGATGACCTGGGTTCCTGTTCTATTCCAACACAATGTGACCTACAGCATTGTCTCTAGGGCTCCAATTTATTTACCTGGAAAAGGAGGAAAGTGGGCCACATTTCTCTAAGACCCTTCTAGTCCTAGCGTTTGTTGATTTTTAATATTATTTTCCACACACACTATATGTTGAATGAATGTTGCTACATGATGATTCTACCTTAAGTCATATGAACCCAATTTTAATCACACAATGATATTAGCATTTTCAGGGTAAATATGAAATTTTCACTTTGGTTTAAAGTGCCCTAATGATTGCCTCATCTTTCTTTCCCTTATGGGCACTGGTAAAGTATTTATTTCATTTAGGGTCATTTTAGAAACTTTCTTTGGGAGCCATTTTTGAAAAGAAGAAAGCATGCAGAAATCTGAGCTAATGTCTGTATCCTTCCAAACTGAAAAATGTAATTAAAATCAGAAAAATTTCCCAAAATAAGGATTATCTAAACATCCTGATAACAGATTGGATTTTTCAGTTTTGTCTAGAGTTGTAGCATAGTATACACAGAGCTTTGGATTCCTTATAGTAGAAAAAAAAGTTTTCTCATATCTAGTAAGCATTTTTGTGTTGTGATCTTGGATCCCAAGTATTGATAAGATTCACCCAATTACATTTAAAAACTAGCCTTTCTTTAGTTCATACAAATGTTCATTCTGAAAATGATCAATGCTGAATGTCATTTAACAAGGAAAAACATCTCAAGTTCTAGTTGGTAGTTCTGTCACAATAGACACTGTACCGCACTTGGTGTTAGAAACACCTGAGTTCCAATTCCACCTCAGACAGCTACTAGTGATGAGACCCAAGGCAACTAATTAAATCTCTCAGCCTCAGTTTCATCATCTGTGGAATGGGAATAATGATCACACCTACCTTACAGGTTGTGTTGTAAGTGCTATACAAATGCCATCTATGATTGTAGGGTGGGGGAAGGGAAGGTCATAATTACATATTCCGTTCTTAGGTTATGCTAACGCTCACTAGTACATGTTTGTTGAAAACTGCCTTCATCATTCCATTTAAGCTACTAGTTCAGAGAATATGTATTGTATTATACATACTTAGTCTGCAGGACAGGATAGGTGTTCTATATATTTTTAGATCTAAGATTATTTTTTTCTCAACTGTTATGAAAGTACCAGAATTACAGTTGCTTTTTAGATAATTGATGGGGTGAGTTGTAGGGAGGTAAAACTGGAAAGATAACATGTTCTTAATTACCATTTATGTATTTTCATCAGAATAAGTGCTTTCTTTGTCCATCTGGAGGGTGACCACAGATGGGCCACTATGCTGACAGATTTGCTGGTAAAACAACCTCAGTGGGACAGGTCTTTATCTCAACACTGGGGATGCCAGTAATTTTGCTCGTAAGTTTCCATTTGACTTTCCTCATTTTCAAATGTTATTGCCTCCAGTGCAAAGAGGAAAAGGAAGGGAATGACTATATTTGGGAGATGACTCCTGGATACTGATGGCCAATTTAGAGGAGGTAGATTTTCCCTGGCCTGAGGAATCTGGATGACAGCACAGCATGAGTCCATTGTTAAATGTGTTGGATGTAGAAATGGACCTCTTCTTTCAAATGCTTCTTGAAATAGATTGCCAAATATCCAGAGGTTTCACAAAATAAATTTCCTAGTTTCTGTAGTTGAGATATTGGCACATGCCTTTAAACATGCACCCATGTTTTGTTTGTGAATATTAAGAAAAAACATTTTGGAGTTCAAGGGTGGTGAAGCTGTGGCGTCAAGGCCACATGTGGCCCTTTATGTCCTCAAGTGTGGCCCTTTGATTGAATCCAAATTTCACAGATTCACAGATTTGTTCTGTGAAGTTTGGATTCCATCAAAGAGCTACACTTGAGGACTTCGGGGGCCATGGGTCCCTATACCTCTGGTCAGGCAGTTTTTTTTTTCTTTTTATGCTGCTTACGCAATAACTCCTGAAAGATGAACTCTATGAGTTGTAATAATAGCTTATTCATTGATGGGAGTATATAAAGGATCTTAGAATAGCTACACATAGTGGAATATGCCATTATTTCTATGTGTTCTCACCGGGAAATGAAAGAAGGGAGGAGAGGATAAAGACCCAATAGGCCAAAGATGTGGGAGAAAACTTTACTTCACAATTTTGCTCTCACACTGTCCTAGCAGGATTGACGTGCTGTGTAGATGAGCCATGTTGAGATAGTGTGGCAGAGTATATAGAGTGAGGAACTTGGAGTCAGGAAGATCTAGGTTCAATTCCCACTTCTGATCCTTCCTAGGTGGGTGACTCTGCATAAATCCATTAATCTCTCTGACTCTCACTTTCCTCATCTGGAAAATGAGAGTGTTAACAAGATGGCCTCTAAAGTCCCTTCCAGCTCTGAATTTATGATCTTCAAATCATATTATACAGTTGAAAGAGTACTGGGCTTAGAGTCCCGATAGGAAGCGAGATTGAATTCCAGGCTCTGCTAGCTGTTTATATTAATATGTGATCTTGGTCAAATACCTTATACTTTCAAAGCCTTGGCTTTCTCATCTCTAATATGGGGATAAATATACTCTTCACAAAGTTTGTTTTGTGGGGAAAACATTTCATAAACTGTCAAGCACCATGATAGCGAGCTGCAAGTTGGTGAAGTAACCATAGATGACATAACATTTTTAATATGAAATT